TACCTCGCGCCTTATACAGGAGCAGCTCTGGCTGAATATTTTATGTACCGTGAACGCCACACTTTAATCATTTATGATGATCCCTCCAAACAAGCACAGGCTTATCGCCAAATGTCTCTTCTATTACGAAGACCACCAGGTCGCGAAGCTTATCCCGGAGATGTTTTTTATTTACATTCGCGTCTTTTGGAAAGAGCCGCTAAATTAAGTTCTCAGTTAGGTGAAGGAAGTATGACTGCTTTACCAATAGTTGAGACCCAATCAGGAGATGTTTCAGCTTATATTCCTACTAATGTAATTTCTATTACAGACGGCCAAATATTCTTATCTGCCGATTTATTCAATGCTGGGATCAGACCCGCAATTAATGTGGGTATTTCCGTTTCCAGAGTTGGATCGGCGGCTCAAATAAAAGCCATGAAACAAGTAGCTGGTAAATTAAAATTGGAATTGGCACAATTCGCAGAATTAGAAGCTTTTGCACAATTCTCTTCAGATCTCGATAAAGCCACGCAAAATCAATTGGCAAGAGGTCAACGATTGCGCGAGTTGCTTAAACAATCCCAATCAGCTCCTCTTACTGTGGAAGAACAGATAATAACTATTTATACTGGAACGAACGGTTATCTTGATTCATTAGAAATTGAACAGGTAAGGAAATTTCTCCTTGAGTTCCGGGCTTATTTAAAAACGAATAAACCTAAATTCAACGAAATCATATCTTCTACCAAGACATTCACTGGGGAAGCAGAAGCCATTTTGAAGGAAGCTATTCAGGAACAGATGGAACTCTTTTTACTTCAGGAACAAGTAGAAAAAAATTGATTAAAATTTTCATACCGTTAAAAAATTTCTATCATTAGTCTCTTCAAAAAAAGAATCATAAAGATAATAAATTCACAATATATTTTTATAAATATACGAATTCAATTAATATATATGCAATTGCAATCAATTCAATATGTAATCAATTTGCGTCCAATAGGATTCGAACCTATACCAAAGATTTAGAAGACCTCTGTCCTATCCATTAGACAATGGACGCTTTTCTTTTTTTCTTTCCCTTTTCACGAAAATTTCGTGAAAAGGGAAAGAAAAAAGAATTCTATACTAAAACTAAATGAAGAAATTTACTAAATAAAAAATAGAATATAAGCGGGTAGCGGGAATCGAACCCGCATCGTTAGCTTGGAAGGCTAAGGGTTATAGTCGACGTTTATGAATGAACGTCTCTAATTCAAAACTGAACGTGAAACTTTTGTTTCATTCAGCTCCTTTACAGAATAATTTAAGAGATAGATGGAATACATGAAAAAAAGAATCCATAACATCTATGTCAGCCTTTCGGTATGAATACAATTAACGTTGCTTTTTAGATGATCCCTATAGAAAAGGAGTATTCGAACAATCTCTTTTTTTCTAGTTACTTCGTTCTCTATTTCTATTTGAGAGAATCTTTAGGAAAAGAATAAAATTTCCGTCGAGCTAAAAAAATATGTTGATGTTTCTAGTAAACTAAAAAAATCATTTCATAGCTATTTTGCTTCAATCTCTCCTATACAAAACAAATAATAAAAAAATTGGAAGATTTAGTTACGATTGGAAACGAATTTTATATATCTTTCTCCCTGGATCCTTTACTTATATTCAAAAATTGGGATTCTGGATCCAATTGCAAAAACTTATGTTTCATAATTTTAGAATCAATTCTAAATTGTATACAAATTATGATAATGTATATTATTCCTCGAATTGCTCCTTGAGAGGTATAAAGGATTAAATACCTTTAAGTAAGAAATAAAGTTTTTGATCGTGATATGAATCACGGAAGGGACCCCTTAACTATTACTATTAAGGGGTCGATAGAACGAATCGCACTTTTACCACTAAACTATACCCGCTACAATACTATTATTGTATATAAAAAGATCTTTTGTCAATATCAATACAGGACGGGGAATCAGTCCTAATTATGAAATAGGTGCAGAATTTTATGATAAATACAGTGTTCACATGTTTCGTAAAGGGCCCCCTAATGAAATTTAGAAAAGGGGGCGAATCTCATTTTTGGATTTTGTTGAAGGTATTTTGACAGATAGATCTCGACAAAATTACTAAACGAAATTCATAAGACAAAAATGCATTGTGCAAGAATCCATAGTTCTATTTCTTTTTTTAGATACGTTAACTGATTAATTCGTATGATATACGATCAAAAAGTTATTTTTATTTTTGTTTGATCGTATTAAAATGTTTTCCTTAATTACAAGTTTCTTTCAAATCTGATACAGAAAAATAAATCATTGTGATTCATGGGAAAAAAGAGCCGTGCCAGTACCTAGCTGGACTCTGGTTGGATAAAAAAACAAACTAAAAAAAAAAGAAAAGAAAAAATTTTATATTGCGTATATATAGAATATAACTTTAGTATAGGTATAAGAAAATATAACTAATATTTATGAGTTAATATAGAATTATGAATAGTAATTAAATAAAATGATAATCAAATAGAAAAAAGATAGATAGATAAGATATATCAAATGACGATCAATATCAAATAAGATATATAGAAGGCTTTTTTGAGCCCTACTTTTTGTTCTTTTTGTTTATCCGAGGTATCATAAGCATAATAATTCAATTTTTTGAATTGGGGAGAGATGGCTGAGTGGACTAAAGCGTCGGATTGCTAATCCGTTGTACGAATTTTTGTACCGAGGGTTCGAATCCCTCTCTTTCCGTTTATTGATGATTTGGCATTTTTTTCTTTTGAACTTCTGGAATTTCTTTTTTTTTTTATTCCCTGTTTGTTTCATTTTTTACTAGTTAAAGATGTAAAATAGATAGAAAAACGAAAAATATTTTAAAATCCAGCATAAGTACGGAAAAGAACAAAGATTTTCTTATTCTTCACGTCCAGGATTACGTCCTGGATCATTAGATAGGAATCCGAAGATGAAAAGAGAAACAAAGAATATCACTATTGTGTAAACAAATAGTTTTAGAGTAAGCATTACAAAATCTCCAAGATAATAAAAAAAAAAACGACAGAGAAAGAGAATAGATTCTCTTGTATTTCATATTATGTTTCCTTTGATACTCAGTTTATAAGAAATGAAGTTATTTCAAAAAAACTAAAAAAATTGATTTGTAGTAAGAGTTGAGCCTTTGTTTTACCATTACCAACAATTCAATTTTCTTTCATATCCACAAGATCCACGTATTGGTGGTAGACTCAAATCGAATAATAGAATAATATAATTTTTATTTTTGAATGGAAAAAAAGGAAATGATGAGATGATCCATATTTTTATTGTCTATCCAACAATTTCAAGATTTATAATCACGGATTCACACTGTAAGACTTATCTTATTTTTAAAAATGTTAAAATTTGAGTTTTCTAATAAATTCTGACTTTTTTTTCGGACATTATTCAAATTAAAGATCTTATCGAAAACTTACAGCAGCTTGCCAAACAAAAGCTAAGAGAAAAAAGAGTAAGGGTATTACTGGCATAAAATCTACAATTGGATTCAAAAAAGCGTAAGCTTCTGGTAATTTCCCCAAGAAAAAACTACTTGAATAAAGGGCAGAGTGAATACAAATACAGACCGAGCTAAAGATATTAAGCATAACAAAAATGTTTTTCTTTAAGAAAATGAATTGTCTTTTTTCTTTTGTTTTTAATTCTAATTTTGATTGTATTTTTTTTATTATTATATAGATGATTTATTCTATATATGATATGATTTATTCTATATATGATATGATTTATTATATAATTTATTATTATTATTATCCATTTTTGTATTATACTTTTATATTAACAATGAAATATAAAATCAAAATTTTTTGATTTTATTTAGATAGAATAGAGAATATATAGAATAGAAAATGAATAATTTGAAAATCTAAAAGGATAGAATATAAAATATTGAATTCCTATTTATAGATATGAAGATTACTAAATCAGTAATAAAACGAAAAAAAAAAGATGAATCAACTAAGATCAGACCCCCACTTTTTTTGATTTGAACTGAATAAGTTCAAACAATATCTTAATTGAATTCTATGGAATGATCAATAAATTTCGTTTAATTCGATATCGATACATATCAAAATTCTAGCAACAATTTATTCTATAGAATAAATTTCGAAGTGTAATTGACGAACAACTCATAATACTATTTATTAATGTCGAATCAAAATGGGGCGTGGCCAAGCGGTAAGGCAGCGGGTTTTGGTCCCGTTATTCGGAGGTTCGAATCCTTCCGTCCCAGATCATATCTATTCAAGATATATACCTATTTCAATACAAATTGTATATCCGAATAAAGATTCCTTTTTTTTTTTTTAGAAATTGATTTTTTTATATTTAATTTACAAACCATGAAAATAGAATATTGACTTAATTTCGACTTCTTGACTTTAGAAATAAAATTGTATAGTCAGAAAACCTAAAACCTAGAAGTGAAAAGTATATATTATTATCTATTGATTGAGTCAATGACTATGCACGATTTCAAAATGGAATCAATTACATACCAGATTGAAACTAAAAAATAATGTTATGGTAAAACCTCGTTTGAAACGATGTAGTAAAAAGCAGCGTGGGACTTGAAAAACGTGACTATATTAGCTGCGGAGTCTTACATGCCCTATTTTCTTTATACTATCTAGTTTCTAGTATCTAGAAATAGGGATCCTCGATTTTTCGATTTGAGTGATCTATTTATTCCAAAATTCGGTGCTCAACCTACCTCATATTAGGAAAAAGTCAAGAAATAAACTAATTTGGTGCATAAATACCGTAGACCAAATGAGCCTTTTTACTTCTTTGTTTTTATTCTATTCATTCATTTTTATATTAGAAATAGTTATTGATTTGATATTCAAATATAAATGATACATTTGTTCAATACTTCTTCGCTCATTATTATTATAAGTTATTAATCCTCGCAATTCTATTTCTATACTTAAGTCGATAAAAAATGATCATCGAATGACTATTCATCTATTGTATTTTCATGAAATACAGGAAAACATATTTATGGAAAGAAAGTGGTTCAATTCAATGCTGTTTAATAGGGATTTAGAATATAGGTGTGGTTTAAGTAAATCAATAGATAGTTTTGATCCTATTGAAGATAGTTTTTATCCTATTGAAAATAACGGTGTAAATGAAGACCCATCTATTTTAACTGATGACCCATCTATTTTAACTGATGACCCATCTATTTTAACTGATGACCCATCTATTTTAACTGATATGGATAATGACATTCATAGTTGGATTGAGAGTTATCTTCGTTATAAAATCTGTATTGCTAGTTACATTTTAGATGATAGTGACAACTACAATGCCAATATCAGTGACTTTAATAGTTACATTTTAGATGATAGTGACAACTACAATGCCAATATCAGTGACTTTAATAGTTACATTTTAGATGATAGTGACAACTACAATGCCAATATCAGTGACTTGAATAGTTACATTTTAGATGATACAAATGATAGTGATTTGTATGAAATAGAAAATTCTAATGATACAAATGATAGTGATTTTACTCCAATAGAATATTCTAATGATACAAATAATAGTAAATTTACTCCAATACAATATCCTGATGATCCAAAAGATACTTCTTATACTGAAAAATTTAAGCATTTATGGGTTGAATGCGAAAGTTGCTTTGGATTAAATTATAAGAAATTTTTTAAATCCAAAATGAATATTTGCGAACACTGTGGAGATCATTTGAAAATGAGCAGTTCAGATAGAATCGAACTTTCGATTGATCCAGGTACTTGGAATCCTATGGATGAAGACATGTTTTCTCTGGATCCCATTGAATGGGACAAACCTTATACGGAAGACGAACCTTCTACGGAAGACGAATACGACTCTTCTACGGAAGACGAATACGAATCTTCTACGGAAGACAAACCTTCTAACGAACCTTCTACGGAAGACAAACCTTCTAACGAACCTTCGACGGAAGACAAACCTTCTAACGAACCTTCGACGGAAGACAAACCTTCTAACGAACCTTCGACGGAAGACAAACCTTATACGGAAGACGAATCTTCTCCGGAAGACGAATCTTCTCCGGAAGACGAATCTTCTCCGGAAGACGAATCTTCTCCGGAAGACGAACCTTCTACGGAAGACGAATACGACTCTTCTACGGAAGACGAACCTTATATAGATCGTCTTGATTTTTATCAAGAAAGTACAGGATTACTGGAGGCGGTTCAAACAGGCACAGGTCAACTAAATGGTATTCCTGTAGCAATAGGTATTATGGATTTTCAGTTTCTGGGGGGTAGTATGGGATCCGTAGTGGGTGAGAAAATAACTCGGTTGATCGAATATGCTACCAATCAACTTTTACCTCTTATTATAGTATGTGCGTCCGGAGGAGCGCGTATGCAAGAAGGAAGTTTGAGCTTAATGCAAATGGCTAAAATATCTTCTGCTTTATATAATTATCAAATCAATCAAAAGTTACTCTATGTAGCGATACTTACATCGCCTACTACTGGTGGGGTAACAGCTAGTTTTGGGATGTTGGGGGATATCATTATTGCCGAACCAAAAGCTTACCTTGCATTTGCGGGTAAAAGAGTAATTGAACAAACGTTGAATAAGGAAGTGCCTGAAGGTTCCCAATCGGCTGAAGTTTTTTTCGAAAAAGGCTTATTGGATGCAATCGTATCACGTGATTCTTTAAAGGACTTTTTAAGTGAGTTATTTGAATTCCATGGTTGCTTTCCTTGGATTGAAAATGAAAACTAATGCAGACTATCATTTTATTTATGTTTTTCAATTTTTAACTTTTCATTAATATCATAAAATGAATATCATAAAGAAATCTTCTTATTATATAAAAATGATATAAAAAGAAAATGAGAACACACAAGAGTAAAGTAATAAGATAAGAATAAAAAATAAAGATTAATTATCATGGACATATTTCTTGTAGAAATAGACAGCAAAATAAATCCAGTTATTTCGTTCGACATTCCTTATATTTAATTTAATATTCAAATTATTAAAATTAACGATTTTGATTCTTAATAAATCTTATTCCATTTTTTTCTTATGGGTTTATTCTCTTTATATACTCCATATAGAATATATATATATATTCATATCTATTTATTTAGCTCTACATAGTAGAATTAAAAAAATAGACTTAGTATAAGTCTATATGAATTCTAGTGATTATAGACTTTCTTTATTCCAATATAAGAAGAATCCAAATATTAATCTAACAATCAACAAAAAAGAACAGGTACAAATATGAAATTGAGGTACCCCATTTTATGATAAACTTACCATCCCTTTTTGTTCCTTTAGTAGGCCTAGTATTTCCGGCAGTTGCAATGGCTTCTTTATTTCTTCATGTTCAAAAAAACAAGATTTTTTAGATACCACAAGTTTCATATATTTTTGAAAATAGGGTTAAATTTTTTAGTTTGGATTTGTTCTTTTGTTCCATTTTTGAATAACTATTGCCTTCAATAAAAAAAAAAGAAAAGTACTAATATTATATAAGCCTTAATAAGATAAGGAGGTTTTCATATAACAACATAAATATTAATCTAACAATCAAGAAAAAAGAACAGGTACAAATATGAAATTGAGGCACCCATTTTATGATAAACGTTTATGTGTTTTTAGTGGGCCTTGTATTAATTGTAATGTCTGCTTTATTGGTTCATGTTCCAAAATTCATTAGTTGGGGGTCAGAAAAACTTGGTTGTCGTTCACAAGACGCATGGCTTGACATTGTACCGGGGTCCCGAAAAATTATCAATTTATTCTGGGCGTCTTTCACTCTTTTAGGTTCATTAGGAGTTTTATATATTTCAGTTTCCAGTTATTATGGGAGGGATTTTTTCTCTTTCATTTCGTCCGAATTTGTCATTCCTTTTTTGACACAAGGAGTCACGCTGACTTTCTATGGAATTGCCGGTCTCTTTCTAAGTTTACATTGGTGGCTTCTAATTTTTTGGAATGTGGGGAGTGGCTATAATTTTTTCGATAAAAAAAATCGAATGGTATGTTTTTTTCGTTACGGATTTCCTGGAACATATCGTCGTATTTTTCTCCGAGTTCGTATGGAAGATATTCAGTCCCTCATACTACAAGCTAACCCAGAACCTAGTAGTGGTGTCCTTTATATGCAAACCAGAGAACAGGGGACCATTCCCTTGACTCCTGTTGATGATAGGACTCCATGCAACGTTATACAAAAAGCTTGGGACTTGTCCAGATTCTTGAGTGTACCAATGGAAATCGTTCCATATTCTTGAGTATACCAATGGAAATCGCTGTATCCAAACAATTTCATTTTTAATTCATAGCTTTTGAAACACTTTTTTTCTTCTTCATTCAAATTGGCAATGGCTTATTTCGTTTTCTTATTTGATTTCTGTATTCTTTTGGATTCTTTTTTCAAATTGAAGGAAAAAGAAACTAACCTCCGAATTACAAATAAAAAGAATAGCTTCTCAATTTCTATGAAAAAATTATAAATTGATATATTCTAGGCTAAGCTCTATTACTTGTATTTACTTGTAATAGAACTTATGCTTGATAGAAAGATTATTATTATATATAGTTGAAAAATGAGATGAAACTGAGTTCATTAAAGACGAAAAATGGCAAAAAAGAAAGCATGCATTCCCCTTCTATGTCTTACATCTATAGTCTTTTTGCCCTGGTGCATCTCTTTTACATTTCAGAAAAGTCTGGAATCTTGGATTACTAATTGGTGGAATATGAAAGAATCCGAAATTGTCTTGAATACTATTCAAGAAAAAAGTATTTTAAAGAAATTGCTAGAGTTCGAGGAACTGTTCCTCTTGGATGAAATGCTAAAGGAATACCCGGAAACACGTTTACAAAACCTTCGTATCGAAATCTACAAAGAGACCATCCAATTGATCGAGACGAACAACCTAGATCGTATCCATACGATTTTCCATTTCTGTACAAATATAATCTGTTTCCTTATTCTAAGTGGTTATTCTATTCGAGGTAATCAAGAACTCATTATTCTTAACTCTTGGGTTCAAGAATTTCTATATAACTTAAGTGACACAATAAAAGCTTTTTCTATTCTTTTATTAACTGATTTTTGTATAGGATTCCATTCGACTCAGGGTTGGGAACTAATGATTGGGTCTGTCTATAAAGATTTTGGATTTACTCCGAATGATCAGATTCTATCTTGTCTTGTTTCGATTTTTCCAGTCATTTTAGATACTATTTTTAAATATTCTATTTTCCGTTATTTAAATCGTGTATCTCCGTCGCTTGTAGTCATTTATCATTCAATGAAGGAATGAAAAAACGACCCACTGATCCAATTCTAAAATTTGTTTTTTGTATAGAAAAGCTAAACATTTAAAATTGAACTTATTCGTTTTCGTTTTACTCGTATTCTTCCTATATTATAGGAAAAGAATTGGAGTAAATAGCAGAATCATGGATAGGGAACTGTGCCAGTAACCTACCTAATCTTATTGTAGAAATTTTCAGGATCAATGATTGGACCATGCAAACTAGAAATGCTTTTTCTTGGATAAAGAAAGAGATTACCCGATCCATTTCCGTATTGCTCATGATATATATAATAACTCGAGCACCCATTTCAAATGCATATCCTATTTTTGCCCAACAAGGTTATGAAAATCCTCGAGAAGCTACCGGCCGGATTGTATGTGCTAATTGCCATTTAGCTAATAAGCCCGTAGATATTGAGGTTCCACAAGCGATACTTCCCGATACAGTATTTGAAGCAGTTGTTCGAATTCCTTATGATATGCAAGTGAAACAAGTTCTTGCTAATGGTAAAAAGGGGGCTTTGAATGTGGGAGCTGTTCTTATTTTACCAGAGGGTTTTGAATTGGCCCCTCCTGATCGTCTTTCGCCCGAGATTAAAGAAAAGATAGGTAATTTGTCTTTTCAAAGCTATCGTCCCACAAAAAAAAATATTCTTGTGATAGGCCCCGTTCCTGGAAAAAAATATAGTGAAATTACCTTTCCTATTCTTTCTCCAGATCCCGCTACTAAGAGAGATGTTTACTTCTTAAAATATCCTATATACGTAGGCGGGAACAGGGGAAGGGGTCAGATTTATCCCGACGGAAGCAAGAGTAATAATAATGTTTATAATGCTACAGCAACGGGTGTAGTAAACAAAATAATACGAAAAGAAAAAGGTGGATACGAAATAACGATAGTAGATGCATCAGATGGACGTGAAGTGATTGATATTATACCGCCATGACCAGAACTTCTTGTTTCAGAGGGTGAATCTATCAAACTTGATCAACCATTAACGAGTAATCCTAATGTGGGTGGATTTGGTCAGGGGGATGCAGAAATAGTGCTTCAAGATCCGTTACGTGTCCAAGGTCTCTTGCTCTTCTTGGCATCTATTATTTTGGCACAAATTTTTTTGGTTCTTAAAAAGAAACAATTTGAGAAGGTGCAATTGTCTGAAATGAATTTTTAGGAATGTCAATTTATCAACATATTAAGCTGGTAAAAAGAACTCCATTTTTGTTGATAAATTCTGTGTAAAGACCTTTGGTTCTTGGTTTTTTTTCAACTGCACAATTAATTCGAACCATATGATTATGTCGCTGATTATGTCGCTGTTTTCACATTTTCATGTCCTAGAATAGAAATATTAGAATTTATATTGTAATAGAATGAAATTCGACTTGATACTAAACCTAAAAAAATAGGTAGGTAGATAATATTAAGTAAAGTAGAAAAAGGGAAAACAGGATTCTAGGATGGATAATTTGTCTTTTCCTAGAGTCCAATTCCTTCTTGTTTATGTCGAAATCGATACGTAGTTAAGGAATGGACAAACAAAAAAGACCGGGAATTGAATTCAGCAAATACAACTTTCTTAATTCACTTCAAAAAAAGAATTTAATCATGAGTCTATATTAGAAATAGATTTCTAGTAAGATTCTGTTAGTATCAAAAAGGTTTGGTTCTACAGAATCTTTTTTATGTTTAATAGAGTATTAAATATAGTATATAGTTCCCTATTCTTACAGGGAAGATCCTAAAAAAAGGAAATGGAATTTTTTGAAACATACAATAAAGTTATCTATTGACTCACTGACAAAAATATTCTGATTATGAAGAACTCAACGGGACCCCTTCGAATTCATCAAAGAAAGAGTGGATCCCCGTTGAGTTCTTATGCTTTCATTTCGAAAACTAAATTTATCCGATTATTACAGGGATGATCCCAATCCGGAATATGAACCATAAAAGAAAATACCAATTAAACCGATCACAACAATACCAGCTACAGTACCTATTATCCAAAGAGGAATTCTTCCAGTAGTATCGGCCATTTATCCCACTTTCCTCCACATTTGATCAAGTAGTCAGTCATACTAGAGACCTAAACAGTCATAGATAATTATGAAATGATATCCTTCCGAATGGGATAAGAGAATTCCTAATATATAAATACTATTCTCTTTTCTTCAATTAATTGAAAAAATAATTTGAAAATAAAACAGCAAGTACAAAAATGAGTAATAAACCCCAGTATAGACTGGTACGATTCAATTCAACATTTTGTTCATTTGGGTTTGATTGTGTCGTAGCTCTATAATTCGGATTAGGTTTATCGTTGGATGAACTGCATTGCTGATATTGATCCCAAAAAAGAAACGGTAGGTACCGCTAGTCCGTGAACAGCCAACCATCGTACTGTAAAAATGGGATAGGTCCTATCTATGGTCATTGGAGCCTCCTAAAAAGATCTACTAAATTCATAGAGTTGTTCCAAAGAATCAAAACGGCCGGTTATTAAAGGAATTCCTTGTCGGCTTTCTGTAAAATACTCGTTTGGACGGGGGCTTCCAAATACATCGTAAGCTAAACCCGTGCTGACAAATAACCAACCCGCAATGAATAGGGAGGGTATAGTAATGCTATGAATAATCCAGTATCGAATACTGGTAATAATATCAGCAAAAGAACGTTCTCCTGTGCTTCCAGACATGCCGAGCTCCACATATTCTTATACAGTCAAAGGGGGATCGATTCCATAAAAGATCAGATCAGTAAGTAGAAATTTACTGAAATTTTCAATCTTTGTTACGATCGTCAATCGTGTACCAAGGGTCTCGTTCCAGTATACCAAATCAGTATAGCTATCCTTCTTCTAACACAGCAACGAAATTTCACAATAAGTGACGAGATCGAGTACTACAAAAGAAAATTTCTTTTTTTCCTGGTTGTTTGTTTCGATGTACTGAATCGAAAATTCCTCAAAGTTTAAGACTATATATATGGACTTTATATTATTTATATTATATATATACGTTATATTATATATAATTATATAAATAAATAAAACAATTTTCCTTCGATTAGTTTACTCAACTCATGTCATGAGTTGATCAAGAAATCTGTTGATTTGGAATCACAGGTTGGGTAGATGTCACAGATGATGAATTGATTTTTTACCTATGTAACTATATTTTTCTTTTTGTTTGTCCGTAATAATTGATTCATGAATCAATTCTTTTCCATTGTATCTTTCAAGTGGTCTTTTTTGCTTCTTTTCCTATTTTTATCTAAAAAAAAAAAAATGGAAACTTAGGAAAGTGCTTTATAAACATATGTATAAAAAGAATATATTTCATCTAGTTTCCTTATGTCCACTCTAACCAGTTATTTCGGTTTTCTACTAGCGGTTTTAACTATAACCGCAGGTATTTTTATCAGTCTGAATAAGATACGACTTATTTGATTTGCAATTTTGAGAGAAATTTGGAAATTGTAGATATTCTATAGTTCCTTATCATATTTCCAATTCTTGGTCATTGAGATTCATGGTCAATATAAATTCATATTTAAGGATCGATATTACCCCCACCTTTTTTACTTTCAACCAAACTCAAATGATTGAAGTTTTTCTATTTGGAATCGTGTTAGGTCTAATTCCTATTACTTTGGCTGGATTATTTGTAACGGCCTATTTACAATACCGACGTGGCGATCAGTTGGATATTTGATTTAGTACTGTCTCTTTTGTTTATTGACTTCCTATTTTTTTGTTTGAATCCTAATTCACAGGAGATCAAATTAACACTTTTGATTAGACTTAGACTGTTATCCCATTATTTTAGTCTCATTCTCAGAAGAATGGTATCACGCTCTGTAGGATTTGAACCTACGACATCGGGTTTTGGAGACCCGCGTTCTACCGAACTGAACTAAGAGCGCTTTCTTTTCCTAAATAATTTGATGTGATGGCAATATATCTTGCATGCATGCATACAAACTAAATATGGAGAACTATTCATATTGAGTATGTATGTACAATTTCAATTGCTCAAAATTGATCTCTTGTTACTGCTGATATGATATTAGGGATAGGGATGACAGGATTTGAACCTGTGACATTTTGTACCCAAAACAAACGCGCTACCACGCTGCGCTACATCCCTTTACATCAGTTTCCATTATCATTCTAAAGAATTTTTGTCTTATTTTCCACATTTTTCCATTATCTATATCCTGCCATTTTGTTTGTTTTTTTACTTTCTTATATCGATCGTAGAAATAAGATATCGAATCAAATATTCTTATAGAATATTTATATTCAATTAATGAAAAACAGAGAATATATAGAATCTATAAATAATAAGATAGAAAAAGTATAATAACAAGAACAAAGAATATACAAATAATATAGAAAATAGAATTGATATATGAAAAATAGAATAATTTCAAATATTATTTTAATATTTCATAGAATTCATAATTTCAAAAAATATATAATAATATAGTTATTAGAAGATAACAATTTGAATAAATAAAATAAGAATATAAAAATAGTACTCTATAAAAAAAGATCTAATTCATTGTTGTACAATTCAAATTGGATTCGGACTTCCCCCGAGAAATCCAAGTGGTTTTATTAAGAAAAAAAAAACATTGGATCATATTCCTATATGTAATTCTGTATTATTATGTATTACAAATTACAAGAAAAAACGAAGGAGGATTTGAAATGCGAGATCTAAAAACATATCTCTCTGTGGCACCAGTGGCAAGTACTTTATGGTTCGCGGCTCTAGCAGGTCTCTTGATAGAAATCAATCGTTTATTCCCGGATGCATTGACATTCCCTTTTTTTTGATTCTAGTTATTGGCACGGGAAGGGGTGACGAAGATTAGAGATCCAATAAAATATCTGTGATTAAATCCCTCTTCGTTCGTTTTTTTTTTCGAATTATACTAGAATAAGTTCAAAAAAAAAAAGAGGAAATTAAGAAAGGTGGATTTGGCCTCAGTGAAATTTGGAATTTTTCCCACGTTTCGTTTCAATGGAATTGAATTAATACTTCAATTCCATTGCTATTCTTAATTATTAAGAGTAAGACCAGAAATGGAATTGTTAGGGTAGGGGCAATAATATCATACAAGATATTTCAATAAAAACTGAAATACTAGACTCTGGATTCGAAATCTATTTCGAAAGCATTGTAGTAGTGAATTATTACTGTACTATATAAAATTAATTGGAACAAAATATTTCATAATTTGATTTTGAATTATCAACTTATCTTTTTTTTCGTTCCTTTTTTCTTCTTCCCTTCGAATCTTAAAATCGAAGAGTTAAGTGAATAAAAAAACCAAAGGAGGTTTATGGCTAAGGGTAAAAATATCCGAATAACTGTTATTTTAGAATGTACTAGTTGTGATAAAAAGAGTGTTAATAAGGAATCTAGAGGTATTTCTCGATATATTACTCAAAAGAATCGACACAATACGCCTAGTCGATTGGAATTGAGAAAATTCTGTCCCTTTTGTTGCAAACATATGATTCACGCAGAGATCAAGAAATAGAGAAAATGGATTACTTGTGTGTCACCCTTTAAGGAGGTAAATTGAAAAAATACATAAAAATTAATTATATAGATACCAGATAAATTATCTTATCTATATTATATAAATAACATTCTATAACATAAAATTATATACATAGATCATTATATAGCATATATTTTCCAAATATATTACAAAAAAAAATAAGAATATAACTAAAACAAATCCTTTTTTTATAAAACAAACGGGATTTTCGGTATAGGAATAAACAAACCATGGAGAAATCTAAGCGACTGTTTGTTAAATCGAAGCAATCAATTCGTAGGAGTTCGCCCCTAATCCAATCTGGGGATCGAATTGATTATAAAAACTTGAGTTTACTTTTCGAATTTATCACGCTACAAGGAAAAATTATACCTAGATGTGTGAATAAATTGACCTTAAAACAACAACGATTGATTACGATTGCTATAAAACAAGCTCGTATTTTATCTTTGTTACCTTTTGTAAATTCGTCACCTTTTGTTAAAAATGCAAAAAAAAAATATGAAAAAATCAAGTCGATTACTAGAGCTACTCCTCCTGTTCTTAAAAAAAAAAAAAAAATAGAGTTACGTTACTTCAATTAATTTAATAATT